ACCAAATAAAGACACTACAAAGAGAATTACAAGCCAATATCCCTGATGAACATAGATGCTAAAAGCCTCAATAAAATATTAGCAAATTGGACCCGGAAATATATGAAAAAGATCATACACCATGACTAAGTCGGATTTATTCCAGGGAAGCGAGGCTGCTACAATACTTGCAAATCAATAAATGCAATACATCACATAAACAAATTGAAAGACAGAATCACACAATCATATCAATAGATACAGAAAAGGCATTCGACAAAATTCAACACCCATTTTTGATAAAAAAAAAAATTTCAGCAAAGTGGGAATAGAGGGGGCATATCTCAACATGATAAAGGCCATATATGACACACCTACAGCGAACATCATACTCAATGGGCAAAACTAAAACTTTTCCCCTGAGAACAGGAACAAGACAGGGATGCCTGCTTTCACCACTCTTGTTCAACATAGTCCTAGAAGTCCTAACCACAATGATCAGACAAAAAGAAGAAATAAAAGGCATCCAAATTGGAAAGGATGAAGTAAAACTCTCATTATTCGCAGATGACATGATATTGTACATAGAAAACCATAAATACTCTACCAAAACACTGCTAGATTTAATAAATGAATTTGGCAATGTAGCAGGATACAAAATCAATAACCAAAAATTGACGGCTTTTTTATACACCAATAATGACTTCTCAGAAAGAGAAACTAAACAAGAAATCCCATTTACCACTATAACAAAAAAGATTAAAATACTTAGGAATAAACTTAACAAGAAGGCAAAAGACCTGTATTTGGAAAACTACAGAACGTTGAAAAAAGAGATAGAAGATATAAACAAGTGGAAGAATATACCGTGTTCATGGATTGGTAGAATCAACATCATTAAAATGTCCATATTACCCAAAGCAAACTACAGATCAATGCAATCCCTATTAAAATATCAACAGCACATTTCATAGATGTAGAACAAATACTCCAAAAATTTATATGGAACCAAAAAGACCTCCGAATAGCCACAGCAATCTTGAGAAAGAGGAACAAAGTTGGTGTAATCACAATACAAGATTTCAATTTATACTAAAAAGCCACCATAATCAAAACAGCCTGGTACTAGCACAAGAACAGGCACATATGTCAATGGAAAAGTATAGAGACCCCAGAAATCGACCCAAGCTACTATGCTCAATT